CAAACTCATTGGATAATTGGGACTTAAGGCAAACCACACTGAAACAGAGCGTATTTCAATAGGAAATTCCTCTTGTAGGAATGGCTACTGTCCTCAGAAAAATAATGACTTGTGGATAATTGAGATACAATGTCCAATGTATTCTATATTAGCATAATGTAAACATTTTAGACAACGGCAAGATAAATATCCAGATGTAGTATAGTCTATAACAACAGAGCACCAGTTAGTGCACATTAGCTAATAAAAGGATGGCTAATCCATCTAATTTATAGTCTGGCACACCATATTTCACAATATTTGGGAGTAACCTACCAAGTATAATCCTTACAGTAGAAATCACAAAGAAAATCCACAAGTACTGGGGCTATTAGTGAACCTGGTAGCAGTAGGCTGAATAATGCTTCAAATGTCAGATTAATAACATTTCTGGATTATTTCTGAAGGTAATGAAGCCAAACATTTTTAAGAATGGAAGTCTGAGTTTTTAAAAGGGATGTGAGCAAATCAATGGTTCAGAGAAAAGACGGCACGAAATAGGGAAGCCGACCCTTTTCATGCAAAACATGCATAAACTGATAATTAAGAATTGGCTGGAATCCATTTTAATATTAAAGTCTTGGAAGTAAGATGGTACAGTTGAAATGTTAGCAGTTAAATCACTTCATCACTGAATATAATATTAATTCAAATTAAAAGGAGTTACATCGAACAACCATTTACTTTATTCCCCTGAAAATTATCCATAAGTAGGTCCTCTACAACATGCCCTGTATATAGACTGTATATGCCTTGAAAATATGTGTGTGTATTCAACTATTGTTAACCTTTCAAAGATATTACCTGACTTTTCATTTTCTTAAAAATATTACACCATCTTAAAGTACCATGGCTTAGTCAATAGTTACAAAAAAAAATCACTGATCAAACTAATTTGCTTTGTTTCTGACATTCTTAAGAAGGCACAAAGGAATCATAAACAAAACTACTCTCACTATTAAATTGTAAGAAGACTTCCTCCAAGAACGAGTCTTCCCTGGTTGAGATACTATAGATCATCTTCTCTTTCTGGAACAAGAAAACACAGGGCATGAGCTATGCTGGCCCTGAACAACTCAACCAAAGGACTATGAGGTTAATTTACAACAAGAACTCCTAAATATTGATACATAATAAATATTGATATATACGCCACATCCTTCTCTCTCTAAGAAGGCTCTGCCTGGGTAATGATGAGTGAACTAATCCATTTGTAGGATGAAAATCATTTTTACAACTAAGATTAATGGTTTAAAATATACTTAAATTTTACTAATATCATCCTAATTTGTGAAAAGAGAAGAGAGATATAATATTCATTTGCATCCTTTCATTATAAAATGTTCCACCACGTTCCACCATCAATCAACAAAAATGTATCAGATATTTCTTATTTTCTTAAAGGAAAACATCCATATCTGTTTTTCACCCATAACTGACATGAAAGGATGATCCCCACTCCCCCAAGCACTGTAAAGCAATTGTGAACTCATTGATAATCTTAAAAGAACAGATGATTCAAGTCCTATTTCTGACAGCTGAGTTAAAAACAAACCAACCCACAATGCAGGCATCACAATGCAGTCTCTTTATGATAGCAATAGGCAGGTTTTTTTTTTTTTTTTTATTACATGCCCTTATGATTCTTTCTTCCTGATGTTACTAGTAAATGCTGAAATATTCTACCTAAGTGACTGTTGGGCTGGAAAAAAAGAAAAGAAACTCTAATGCAAGTATTTATACCTTCTGCAATGAAAACAAGATATTATTGCCTTGCATGACCTTTCCTAAATATGAGATACAGCATTTTACACAATAGTTTCTTGGTTCACGCTTCAATTACTGACCTTTACTGTGTAGAAAATTAATGCAATTTTCATTGTAATCCATCTGTACAAATAAGATCCACATAGAAGAATTCCACATGTGGAATCTAATACAAATAGGAAATGTCAGCTGATTGCTGTTGGCTGAACTTAGCCGTTATCTGTTTGTTCTGGGGTCCCCAGCAAACTCTACTTGTAACAAGCAATTTCTTGTGTGGAGCCATCAGGTATAAGAAAGAAAAATCTCCTCTCCTCAAAGTTTAGTTTGTACATTTAGTTTCCTAAAAGCCAAAAAACTAGTGACCTGAAAGTTCTACATTGTAACTGAAAGTCCACAAAAAGAAAGGAAGGCAAAACTGTGGAGCCTAATTTGGTTTCTAAAAATGCAGGTCATTTTCCATGGACTTTCAACAATGAGAAGAAGCAAGAGGCTATAGTGATGTCATTTTACAACCATCCCTGTTCCAGACAATAAAAAGATGACAGACCCCAGACCATGTCCTGGCCTGTGCATCAGAGACAGGCAGAATATGGGAATGCGTCCATCTCCCAAGGAAGCTGTGCCAAGGGGCCCCAGCATGCTTTCATCTTCCACAGTCGTCCGTGATGGTATTTGGTGGGAAGGGGTGCTGGCAATTAAGGAGTGTCACTTTCAAGATGGATTGTTTGGGTAGAAAGGAGTTCCTCTCCTCTTCTGGTTTGGAAGGAGACGGCTGTGTGTTTATAATCTGTAAACAGTTCATCTCTCACTGGGTGTGTTACAGTTCCCAGAAGCCCGTCTGTCATGTCGAACACACAACAGAAGCCAGAAGGGCGCTGTGGGGAAGCCCTTGGAGTCAGCACACTGTGGAAGGCAGTGGCCCAGGGCCTGTGTGCTTGAGGGACCCATCCCAGGCATGGAGGCTGCTCTACATGGAGAAGAAATGATGAAGTGTAATAATATATAGGTGGATGTATGCTCCCGAAGTCTTAAAAGTTGAAAACTGCTCTAGTTTACCCATCTCTTGGAGAAGTGAGAGTGAAGAGACATGCAAAAAGACTGCAAAGTTTGCCAAAATCCCCTCACAATAGGAGGCTTGTGTTCAGCAGAAGAGGCACAAACAGAAGTCAACATTTCATTTCAGACTTATTCCTCTAGAAGTTTCCACAGAAATATGAAATTGAGGAAGCAAAACAAACATGGCCACGTGGGGCTATTAAAGGCCCTACAAACATACTACAATCAAAGTATCTCAAGAATGGAATGGCCCTGGAGGAGACATGGAGAACCCCAGAGCTAACGTCCTCAGTGTGGGATGGGCTGCCGCATCTGTTGCGTGGAGGGCTGTGCTTGGATGAACGCAAGAGCTCCCAGGCTCATGCATGTAGATGCTGTAGTTCCAACTCAGTTATCCTTGCCCAGAAAAGCTTGATGCACAGCACAAATGGCTCTACCTCCACACCCCCAGGCCCCCAGACAGCCCTTGAAGGACCACAATGGAAGGTTAGATGGTGAAAAACACTGGTCTAGACTTTCATGGCTCAATCTGTTGCTTGACAGTTCATCAACACCACTTCTTCATCCATTGCCTTCTTGTTAGATGTCTCCTTTATCAGATGGGACAAAGCCCCATGGTCACAATTATCTCTCAAGGGTGGATGGCATCCTCCTTCCACGGGGTGGCTCGTTTACACAGACTTGGTCCAAGAGAAAGAAATCTTCACTTCCAAACTTTGGTTAATAAAATAGATAATTATGCCTAATGTAGGTTTAAAATAATTTCATTAATACCTGTGTTTCCTTTGGTTAAACACCCCCTCATGCACATTAGCTTAGCTATGACTATTTTAATGTTCAAGGACTTACATCACTCAGAAGCCACTCACGTCAATTCATCAAGAAGAAAGTTGCAGGACTTCCCTGGTGGTGTAGTGGTTAAGAATCCGCCTGCCAGTGCAGGGGATACGGGTTCAAACCCTGGTCCAGGAAGATCCCACATGCCATGGAGCAATGAAGCTGGTGCACCACAACTACAGAGCCTGTGCTCTAGAGCCTGTGAGCCACAACTACTAAAGCCCGCGAGCCTAGAGCCCGTGCTCTGCAACAAAGAGTAGCCCCTGCTCGCTGCAACTAGAGAAAGCCCGCGTGCAGCAATGAAGACCCAAAGCAGCTAAAAAATAAATAAATTAATTAATTTAAAAGAAAGAAGAAGAAGAAGAAAGTTGCATCGTGGGACCTTCATTCTAAAAAGGGTCAATTCCCTTTTAAAAAAATTATACTTTATTACTTTGCTATTAATGATCATTTTAGCACAACAAGTAAGATTTACTTTGTAATCTGCCCAGCATCCTTCAAATGGGCAAAACCATCTGGCTTGCTCAATTAATTTTAAGGCTGTCTGTGTCATGGAGCTAGTGTTTTTAAATTTGTTTCTATTTTCTGGACATTTTATATTGGATACTTAACTCTTAAGTTTCCCCCGTTCTCCCCTTTCCTCTCCTGTCAGCCTTCTACACATTATCACCCTAGCCCCGTAGACCCATAGGTTCTAGGGGACTGGGCGGCCGTGAAGCTAGTAGCATCTCATTTGGCATTTCATTTTTTTTTTTTTTTCATTTTATTCCAGAAGGTTTGTCTGAAAGCATAATGACAACAAAAAGTAGCAGATTTGAGAGAATCTCCCAGGAGGAGAGAAAGGACAGATGTACACAGACGTAGAGCTGAAAACGTTGCCAGCAACAGCTGGGCAAGTGACAGGTTCTGAAGCGGGTGACCACCCTGCAGAGTGCAGACATGAGCCTAAAGGAACAGCGATTGCACTTGATTTACTTTTGACTTCCTGGGCTACCTTTCATCTACCTTTCATCCACCAAGGGGAAGGCTAATCTTTGCCTCAAATGACAGGCCTCCTAGAGGGATGCTTCTATAACATTTCAGTTATTCCTTATATTTCGCCCCTTTTCATCCTCATTTTAAAAAAATCTTAAAAAAGGGGTATGCTTTATACACTACAAGAATATCGCTATACTGGTCACCCTATAGTAGTAAAAAAAAAAATATATATATATATATATATATATATAGTTTGACTCAACCGGCTAGAACACTGGAAGCAGTCATGTTCCCCCTTTGTGTCCTTTCTCGAGCACACCCACCTTGTCATCTTCATACTTCTCCTCATCTACGTCCGTGCTCTCCTGTAAGGAAAATCCATAATTTGTAATAAAATGTCAACCGAAATTACTGACTACGAATGAAATGCATACTCGTGCTTAAAGTTTTCCTATATCATTGCAACACTAGTCTTTTTAAAATACACTGTAGGGCTTCCCTGGTGGCGCAGTGGTTGGGGGTCCGCCTGCTGGTGCAGGGGGCATGAGTTTGTGCCCCGGTCCGGGAGGATCCCGCATGCCGCGGAGCGGCTGGGCCCGTGAGCCATGGTCGCCGAGCCTGCGCATCCGGAGCCTGTGCTCCGCAACAGGAGAGGCCACAACAGTGAGAGGCCCGCGTACGCAAAAAAAAAAAAAATACACTGTAACTTTTTTAAAAAGGACACTTTTAAAGTTAAGGGATGCCTTGCCAAGGTTGTAAACAATATGTATAATCTACATAAAACTGTTAAGTATAAATAAAGCTATTAGGGGAGTGCCCTTTGAAGGCAGCCAGCTTTAAAAATGCATTGCGGAGTTTTACTATCTAAACAGTTTTGTTCTGAGTCTGACAAATGAAGCAGCTGCTGTGTTAAGGCTGAGAACACCATACTCCGTCTGTGCTGGGCTCATTATTAGAATGACTGCACTTTTCCTCTGGGGCCATTACCGAAACATTAGACAGTATTAAATGCATTAGTCTGAATGTAATCAATCTCAAGAATAAGCTACAGGTTTCTATATGGCATTCTTGTTTTCCTTGGGCTTCAGGGTTGGTGGGGGGCAGGTGAGGGAAGAAAGCTCAAGGCTCAGATCTGGACTAAAGGGGGGACTGCCTTTAGTTCAGGGGCCCCAGCACGAGCTGTGCTGCAAAGAGGCTTGTTCAGATTCATTTAGAGATCTTGGCTAGTTAACAGGTACACTTGAATAATATCACTGCTACATTTAAAAGCTAACACATGTTGGTACACAATCCAATGATTTGGTAGCTTCAAAAGAATGCTGGGTATCAGAAAACCAAGGACAATTTTCAATTTGAACACTTACCTTTCTGCTTAACCTTGCAAACGTCAGGTATGCTAATTAGATGCCATTATTCCAATAGAAAAAAGAGTGGTCAATATCATGCTTGTATAAGGGAGTAACTCTGAAGTATCCAGACAGTACTCTGCTATCCCGCATAAACCACTGAGCAATTTCTTCAGGGCTGGTACTGTATTACCTCCCAGAATTCCTAGGAGCTCCACCTAGCAGTCTGTGGAATACTTACTGATGCTGGAGAACTAACCTATTCAATGATGGCAACAAGCATGTTTCATAAAAGCACATGGATAAAAATGAATACAATGAAACATGTTATGGGAGGAAAAAACTCTGTAATGTAATTAGGAGTCAGAAGTCTTCATCTTGAGACAAAGTCTTCAGCTGGAGACATTGTTCTAGCACTGTTTTGCTGTGTGACCTTGAGCAAATCACTTTGCCACTCTGAACGTTAGCTTTATGAAGCATGAAATGAAAACAGTAGTTCTTGACTCCTTCATGGTTATGTTACCAAGATTAAATTAGGTAATAAATTAGAAAATGTTTAGTAAATTAAAAAGGTTTCATACATGTACATACACATTTATATGCATAAACACACAAGTACACTTATGTATCCATATTTACATACACACACATATATACATATATATACCTGCCTACAAATACACATATACATATACATATATATATATATATATATATATATACACACACATATACACACGCTATAAACGTATACATATATCATATATACACCTGGGAAAATAAAATCTGATTAAAACTGTAAAAATGTTAGTTGACAGCACTTTTACAACAGATGCTTCTCTGTAAAAATTTCCCTCATCTGTACCTCTGTGAAACTTTGTCCTTACATAAACCTGTACTTTAAAGCTATTTATTTGTTACTTGGTTCTAGCATCTTCAGGCCCCTCATTTATTGATATATGCACATGCTTACTGCACCACACAATCAAAAACCAAACAGAATAGAATTTGGAATTTGTCTGAGGTTTTACTCCTGGCCATAACACTCATTTCCCTCATCCCAAATGAAACCAGAAACATTCCTTAAATATCCATTATTTCAGAGATGATTTTTTAAAATAATCAGAATATTTATAAGGAAGAATACGTGAAGATGGTCAGCTTTTGAGTCTTAGAAAACCTAATGTGCAGGTGATTTTTCTAAAGGATGTTATCAAGTCTCAAGAACTTTGATTTTTGTTTTAAAAACTTGGTTCTTGAATCTGGAATGCCAAGATTATATCATAAAGCAAGTCTATAAATACAAGTTCCTTCTAACCCAGAGCAGAAAAAGATACTATGGGCTGGGATAAGAGGGGTAGGGGAGGGAGAGCTGGAGAAAAATTAAGAAAAGTAAATGCTGGGCGATGTCTTTGAGAAGAGGCCTTGCCTGTGCTTCCTTTAACACCACGGTGAGTTTGAGAATTGCAAGAAAAACTTGGGCACTCAAGAACAGAGGGGCCCATGCCCACGCACTCTCTGATTTCCCTGGGAGTTGGCAAGCCCAGAGCATCCCCTGAGGCTTCAGCCTAGAGGAGAATATTGCACAGGATAATTATATGGAGAGGCCTGAGGCAGCCTCCCAGTTGTGTGTGCCCTGAAGGGGCTCAAGGAGCCACCAAAGGCTTTTCTCTAGTGATTGAGAATCTCATTCCCAGGAACCTTATGGAGAACCAGATGGGCACACAGACATGTGCTGCCCACATGGAAATGCTGACCAAGAACCAGATGGCTCACTCAGGCTAAGAAGGCAGGCCAAGACTCAGGAACACTAGATGCTCTAGGAAGAAGACTCCAGATTACACATGATAAATATCTTCCCTGTAACATGAATACATGTGCAGTGTTGCTCCTCAAACGCAGGGGACTCAGGTCATGATTTGGTGGTGGTGGTTTACTGCTAACACATTTTTTCTTTAGTCAAATGTCAGAATTATTGGAATCTTTGCTCACCTGGCTGTCCTGGATGCTGCCAACCTTCCCCCTTGTAGGTCTGATGAAATTGTAGACAAAGAGGAGCGATAATGCCAGCGGGATCATGTACAGTTCAAAATTCCAGACAGTGACTAAAAACACCTGATTGGAAGACACAGACCAAATGACTGCTTGAAAAAACAGTATGGGAGCAATCTTCAATTCCTATTCATTGACTTAAGGAGATTAAACCAGGACTCTCTATATAGTTCCAAATAGGTTAAAACACACACACACACACACACACACACACACACACACACACACACACACACAAAGATACACACATGATGACTAACACAGTTTTAGAACTGGTAGCAGAATAAGGAAGACAGAGAAATGAGTTGGCCTGTCACACCCTGGAATAGAGTTCCCATATTTGGAAACCTCATTACCCTATCAACCTTATTCAGAGTTTTTTGCTGCTGGATTCAATGTACCAGAATTTAGGAAAAGTAGTGTGGAAAATCCAAAAGTCACGAAGAGGCTGGCCACAGGCCAAATTTTGACAACAGTGAAGTGTATCTGAACTAGAAAGAATGATTACTTTTCAAAGAGGCTGCCAATGCTGAAAAATTCAAATATCTTGGATAAAAACTTCAGTTTTCTGAAGTCTCTTTAAAATAATTTTTAAAAATTTTATTGACATATAGTTGATTTACAATGTTGTATTAATTTCTGCTGTACAGCAAAGTGACTCAGTTATATATATTTATATATATATATATATATGTATATATTCTTTTTCATATTCTTTTCCATTATGGTTTGTCACAGAATGCTGAATATAGTTCCCTGTGCTATACAGTAGGACCTTGTTGTTTATCCATAAAAATCTTAAAATCTTCCCATTTTGAGGCTACATGGCCACAAGAAGATGATGATCAGTGTGAATCTTTGACACTTGAGGAGACATAAGGTTTATATTAGAAATAACATAAACAGTATCAAAATGTTGAGATCATTCTGGAATTTTTTTGTTCAATACTATGTTTTATAGATCTATTGATGGTGTTATGTATAAATCAAGTATATTCATTTTACCTGATCTATGGTACCCCATTCCAATGAATGTTCTGCAATTTTTCCATTATACTCTCTTATCAATGAAAACTTAGGTTGAAACAGTGGCTTGTTTTTTTAATATAGTCAAACATATTAATCTTTGACTTTAGCATTTCTGCCATTTAATACTCAATGTTCTACTTAAGAAATCATATGCTACCCTGAGGTGATAAAGCAATTTCCTTGTGTTTCCTTCCAAAAGATAACTGTGTGTTTGTGGGTGTATGTGTGCGTGTGTGTGTTCCTTATTTTGTCTCAAATGCTTTTTGGTTTATCATTGGAAACAAGCATCTGATTTGAACTGCATCCTCACAGATAGCCAACTTTTATTTTTATTTCTTTTTTTTTAAATTGAAGTATAGTTGATTTACAACGTTGTATTAGTTTCAGGTGTACAGCAAAGTGATTCAGCTATACACACATATATATCTTTTTTTTCAGATTCTTTTCCCTTATTGGTTATTACAAAATATTGAATACAGTCAACTTTCAGAATTAGATTACTGAAGGGATCCATACTTTGCTCACTGATCTACATGCCCACCTCTGTCACACATCAGCTTCCCACATGACTGTGTTGGTTGTTTATGGACCCTCTCATCCCTTCCGCTGAATTATATTATTGTTCTTTCACCAAGACCATGTTGTTAAACAGCAGTTTAGTAACCAGATGATATCTGAGTGGGTAAGTCCCAATTACTCCACTATCAAAATTACCTCGGATTGTCCTTTGCCCTTTATCCTTCCACATGTATTTAAAAATCAATTTGCAACATTCTATAAAATTACTGGTGAAAATTTTATTGAGATAGCCTTTAATGTATATGTTAATTCAGAGAGAACTGAAATCCTGACATTGACCTTCTGAATTATAAGGACTGTTTATTTCTCCATATACTCAGGACTTCTTTTATGTATCTCAAAATATCTTTTTTACTTTCACCATAATGATTTTGCATATGTTTTGTTATTTTTTGTAAGTAACTTAACACTTTTGATACTATTACAAATGGGGTCATTTTCAAATATGTATACTTTAGTTGGTTACTTCTAGGTACAGGAACATTGATTTATATGTTGTTCCCATTATTTCTGAGCCCTCTTAGTGCTTGTTATGAGATTGCAAATGTATCAGTTTGGAGATGTGGTGTGGAAAATCATATAAACTGCAAATCATGACACTTTTCTTTAGCCTCCCAGTCTATACATTATATTTTGTTTTAGTGCTAAACCTCTATACATTTTTTAATAAGTACAGATTTTTTGAAATACTTTTTGATTCAATGCAAATTATTACACTGTTGATGTCTTCCAGTCTATTAATTTGGTGTGCTTTATCAACTTTCTTTGATTTATTATTTCATAATATATATATTTTCCTATAATTTCCTAGCTTTTTAAAGCTTTCTTTTACTTTTTTGTCTTGTTTTATTATGAACAACATAGAGAAAAGTAGAGAAAACAGTACAGCAACTTCTCTACTATGTAAAACTAGTGATTTTCCTTATTGTTACCTATTTCCCTTTCCCTGTTCTTAAAGTTCTTTTAGGATTAGAGGTTTTAACTGTGTTCTAAAGGATTACTATTTCTTAATGTGTATCTACTGGATAAGTGGGGTTTTACTGTTCTTTTAAATTTCTAAATATAATTTCAAGTAAAAAGATGCTGACCTAAAACTATTGAGAAAAATTAGGAAACAACATATTTTTGATTTATTTTCATCATCAACTATTTATAAAATGTCTTCAACAAAATTACTTGTACATCAACCAATACTAGAGGGACAGCTGTGTTAGACAAACACCTCATTTGCCATAATATCTGCCTCCACCAGGTATAGGTAAGGAAGCCCAGAGTGTTTTATAAAAAAAAATTAAAAAGAGCCACATTTAAATATCACATTCAAAGGGCTTGAAACTCTTTTAGAGTGAGAGACTAGTACCTTCAGAAACATTTTAAAAATCAATGCCTAATTCCTACTTCTGTAATAAAGGATTAATTTCCTAGCAATAGCTTCTAGCAAAAACAAATAGAAACCCTTGGCAGGGAGGGGAGACCAATTATCTGAGAGTCTGAAACGAAGTTATTTAATTTTGCAGTGGAGTTGAAACCTTGGGAAAATAACTCAGATCTGAATGGAGTCACTTTAACGTTTCTTGCACCTTTTGACTCAAGAGCAGCTGCAGACAAAGAGATGATACCAGTTGGTACTCAACAGAAAAATTTGCCATCTTTCTGAATGAAGGATATAGGCAAAGGAGTCAGTGACAATTAGGGCCACCAGAGAGTGTACAAACATACTGGAAGGAGAGAGTAAGCAAAAGAAAATCCCAAATTCTGTATGTGAACTCTGCTACGGTCTGTACCACACACATGGGGCAGACTCAAAGCAGTGTCTGAATTGGGATCAAAGCTGCCACCCACAGCAGGTGCGACCAAATGTGCAATTTGAGTCTAACAGGATTAATCCCTAGAGCAATCACTAAAGAACAAGCAGAGAAGAATAGATAAAAAGTCAACAGATGAATTAAAATGGGATTCTAAAAGGTAAGAAAAGGGAAATAGGAATAAGAAACATAGTAGACAAATATAAAACTAATAAAATGGTAACCTAAATTCAACATATCAATAATTACATTGAAAGTTAACAGAATAAACATTGCAAGCATAAAAGGTAGAGATGAGAATAAAATGAATAACTCTGTGGCAAAAAACTCTGACCACTTAAACAAAGGAAAAATTTATTGAAAATTGCAACTTAACAAAATTGAACAAATGTCCCCACCAAGATAAATTCAGGTTCAAATGCTTTTACTGTTGAATTCTCTCAAACATTCAAAGAAGAAAGAACATTATGTTGGAGGGAACACTTCACAACCAATTTTATGAAGCCAGTGTTACCCTGATACCAAAACCTGACAAAGCCATTACAACAAAATAAATTACAGGCAAATATTCAACAGGAACAAAGATGCAAAAATCCTTAAGAAAATAATAGTGAACCAAATCAAGAAATATATAAAAAATATATACTACAGTGTGACCAAGTGGAATATGTTCCAAGAATGTAAGATTAGTTTCACATTAAAAAACAATGTAATTCACCACATTGACAGAAAGGAGAAAAAAACACTTGATTATTTCAATAGATGTGGAAAAAAATATTGACAAAAAATTCAACACTATTAATAAACAATGAATAGAAGGAATTTCCTCAATCTGATAAAGGACACTTACAAAAATCTTACAGTTATCGTATTTGATCATATTTGGCTATAGTTTGTAATATGTAAATTATGCTTTGAGAAGTTGCTTTTAAAAAAATCAACACTTGCTAGGAAGGAAACTACTTAGGCATGCAACCACATGAATAAATCTCAAAAACACACCGAGAGAAAGAAGCCTTATACAAAAAAGAGCACATACTGTATGCCATTTAGATGAAGTTCTAGAATAGACAAAATGATTCTATGATGGAGAAAACTGCATGATTTCCTTCTAAAATTAGAAACAAGGTAGGGATGTCTGCTCTCACTACTCCCATTCAGTATTGGACTGAATGTCCTAGTCATTGCAATGAAGGAAAATAAATGAAATAAAAGGCATAAGTATCAGAAAGGAGGAAAACAATACTGTCTCTTTTTATTGATGACCTGACTTTTTACATAGAAAATCCTAAGGAATCTACAAAGCAAATCCTAGAAATAACTAATCCAGCAGTGACAGGGTATAAAGTTACTTTTTAAAAATCAATTATATTTTTAAAACTAGCAACAAAAATCTGGAAAATAAAATTTAAGATTTTCCATTTACAGTAGAACCAAAGCCCATAAAATACATGGGAATAAAATTCACAAAACATGAGCAAGATCTCTTCCCTGGAAATTATAGAATATTACTGAGGAACGTTACAGAATACAGAAAGAAGTGGACAGAAATGCCACTAGTTCATGGATTATAAGACTCAATATTGTTAAGATGGCAGTTCTTCACAAATTGATCCACAGATGCAAGCAATCCCAATTTTGTAGAAATTG